CAGAACAAAAGGGTAATTTCCAGACACAAGGCTGCCCATTCCTCCTCTGCTTCTGACTCCGCTGTCCACAAGAGAAAGGTCACGCTCCCCTTGCCCGCAGATCACTTGTGTGATCTGGCTCCCACTTCCTGCTGCAGCCTCATCAACCCTCCTGCTAGTCCGCTGTCCTTCGCCCCGGGCCCCTGCAGTGCTGGATGGGCCGCCCCTCCCTGGGCCCTGTCCACACCCCGTCTTCTGACAGACTGATGGCCCTAGAGAGTGGTGCTGGCTTCCTGGTGTGTCTCCAGGCTGTGTGCCTCCCATGGAGACAGAGGCAGGGTGGCGTACAGGCCAGAGCAGAGGGGCTGTGGCCGTGCTATTGGGGCTCACCACTGCTCACCGTGCCTGGTGAAGTAAGGCCACACTGGGCCAGGTGAGTTGGCCCCTCTCCGCATCACGCATCACGGCCTCCTCACCTGAACTAGGAGGCTGCCAGTGCTTGCCTCGGGGGCTGCTGGCAGGATGGGTTCAGTACTGTGTGAACAGCGCTCAGACAGGGCCTTCCCTGGGGCAGGTGCTCAGCGTGGGCTGCTGGTAGTTATTCTTCACTGTTGCGCCCTCAGATCAGCACACTGGGCCTGGCGTGTAAATGTCCAGCGTACATCTGGATGTCGAATAAAGGGAGGAAGGAACCGAGGTAGACCTGACACGTGTGTTAGGACGTGCAGGGGCAGCGGCTGCAGTGGGAGCACACTGCAGGTTCTGAGCACACGAGCGGTGCACCGAAGTACCGTGTGGGGGACAGTGACCAGGCAGCAGGGAACGGTGGCAGCAGAGGAGGCTGGGGGCTGCCGGCCAAGACAGGAAGACCACGGCAGGCTCAGCTGCCTTTTCCTGGGCCTCTCTGCTTTGCCGCACCCTCCGTCTCTTTGAATGCTCCAGGAGAAAGAAGCCACAGGCACTGGCACGCGCCCAAGGCCGGGGCCTTGGGCCATTTCTGGCTTTGCTGTCTTGTGTTTAGGTTGATGGGAGGATTGAAACAAGCTACACTTTTTTGATGAAGCACCACCCCCCGCCTTTTTTTTTGGCCTGTTTATTTCTAGGTAATGCTACTGTAGAGAAGTTGGAGGACTTTATCAACAACATTAACAGTGTCTTGGAGTCCTTGTACATTGAGATAAAGAAAGGAGTCACGGAAGATGACGGGAGACCCATTTATGCGCTGGTAAGTGCAGAGCCCCCTGGTGGACGTGTGAGGGCCTGTGGCTGACACAGCGCATCGTGCCAGGTGCGTCCTTAGTGGGTGAAGGCGCACCTGCCTCATCAAGGGCCCGGCCCGCCTCCCTAACTCTGCCCCACCTCCATCCCCGTGCTCGCTGCCCGCCCCGTGGTCTGCAGCGTCCTCTGTAGTCATCAGGGCTGGGGGTGACAGAACCTCAGCGCTCACTTCACTGCCCACATGGAGCCCTCACCCAAGACTTGGCAGCATGCATTTATTTTGGTTGTTGCCAGTTCTCTGCAAGAAGTTATTCCACATGAATGGAATATTAGGATTCCAAAGGAATAAAATGCCATTTCATTTGGAATAAGACATAGAAGCTCTGAAAAGAAAAATGCGTGGAACCCCTAAGGATTGAGACCCATTTGGAGCCTCTTGTTGTTTTCAAATTTTCCCTCCTAGCTAGGGAACGAGGTGAAATAGAGGGGAGGTGACAAGCCCTTGTCCTTGGCTAGGGGACCGCCGGAGGCCATCAAAGGAGATCAGACTTCTACCAACCAGGCCCACACAGAGAGGGGCTCTAGCCCAGGGTTTCCCAAACTCTGTCCCATGGCAGGAAGGGTTATGGAGTCAAACAACATGGAAATGCTGGGTTAAATCGGTAAATCAGATTTCCTTACCGCCAGACTTTTCAGTGCCTTTTGTGTTTGAAGCTCTGTTAGCATGCAGAGAAGTCTCCCAGAGTCACCTGAGTTTGGGGAGATGCTGTACAACCCAGGGATTTCTGAAATCTCTGAGAATTAGATACACTGACTGAGCTAAAGATTTAAGCCTGTAATACAAGACTGGTTACAAATTTACCCCTGTGGCCCACAGTGCCCGGACAGGTGCTCGGTGACTGGTGAGGCAGGGTGGCAGGGAGAGCCAACAAGTGAACTGACAAGTGACTGGCCTGAACCTCATGCTGACTTATTTTTTAGGTGAATCTTGCAACGACTTCAATTTCCAAAATGGCCTCAGATTTTGCAGAAAATGAACTGGATCTGTTTAGAAAGGCTGTGAGTACAGTAACTCCCATTCCCCATCGGGTGGGCTTCTTACGGGAAACTTCTGTCTTTCATCAGAAATCAAAACTGCAGTCCTAGAGGGTTAGCACTGCTGCCTGAGAAAGTCCTTTGCAGGGGATGGCACCAAGCGCCTGAGCCAGGTGCTGTCATAGCCACCAGGTGTTTGCTGGGGATGTTGCCACAGCTGCCTGGGAAAGAAGGGCTGGTCCAGGTCTGACCCCGACTGACTGAGCAGCAGTGGGCCCCGTGGGTGTGTGACGCGAGTGAACAAGCGTTACTGCCTGGTACTCCCAGTGCGGCCAGGACCAGCAGCAGCACCACCCAGGAGCTTGCTAGAAAGGCTGAAGCCCAGGCCTCACACAGGCTGTTGGATCTGAACCTGCATTTTAACAGTGCTCCATTTACGGGTCACACTTGAGAGGTGCTGCTTGGCCTACTCCGCTTTGGAGCTGTTCATCTTGTCACCTGGCTGAACATCTGGCTAAGACAGTGGTTCTCAGCCCTGGATGCACAGTATAACTGGAAAGGTAAAATTAATGCAGACATTCTGGCCTCACTCCAGGTCTGTGTAATACATCTATGAGGACCAAGTTTTAGAACCATTCCTTTCTAAGCAGCCAAGGTTGAGAACCAGGTTCTAAGACGCCAGACACACCTGTGTGTGCAAGACACCTGTCTTCCCAGGGGCTCCGCCCTGCTGTGTGTGGGTAGAAGTGTTAGGGCAGCTTGCCTGCTGGCCTCTCCCCTCCCCTGGTCCATGTGCCTCTGCAGCTCCCCAGCGTCCTCTCCTGCTGGCCCGCCCTGGCTCTGCAGTCCTGCGCTTGTGGCTCCAGCCTGCCCCTCCTCCGGCCAGCCTTGCCGGCCTGCCCACCTTGAATAGGAGGGGCGCCGTGTCATGTTCCTATTCATTCCTCAGCTTCTCCATCAGTAGGACATGGATTCCCCCTTCTTGATTTGAGGGCGTCAGGCTCATTCATTTAGGATGGTTAAAGGTCAAAACTGAACATGTCTATGGCTTTTTGTGCATATTATTAAGTTGTTTTCGTAAAAGAGCGTGCGCTTCTGCCTGTGACAGGAGCTGTTTCCCTGCAGCCCTGTCAGAATTGGTATTATTGCTTAAAAGTTGTCTTTGCTGATTTAATAGATGGACGTGGTGCCTGCTGTTTCTTTCAGTTGGAACTGATTATTGATTCAGAAACTGGCTTTGCGTCTTCCACGAATATTTTGAACCTGGTTGATCAGCTTAAAGGCAAGAAGATGAGGAAGAAGGAAGCGGAGCATGTGCTGCAGAAGTTTGTCCAAAACAAGTGGCTGATTGAGGTACTTTGTCCTGTGACTTCTCCAGCCTGGCTCACTCTTTAGAATGAATTACAGTTTTTCCACCAGAACCGTGTTGTATACAATGGATGTCTACTGAGCCAGGCTCTTTCAGGCCCCTTATCTGCTCCGATGCCCACACATGACCTGTCCCAGGAGCCCCAGGCAAAAGCAGCAGAGCCCGGGGCTGTGTGGGCGTGTGGGCCCCGGGGCTCCGGTCTGTGGGCCCAAGGCAGTGTAATGCAGTGGTTAGGAGCGGTGCTCTAGCATCAGCCCTGGGCCTGAATCCCAGTGCAGGTACCCTTGAGTTCCCCATCTGTAAGAGAGGAGTAATGGCAACCACCTCTGGGGGTGTAGGGAGTGTGATGAGGCCGGGGGTGTCAGGTGCGGCTGCTGGGCCCCCACGGGAACCGCTGTGGTGATTATCGTCAGTGGCACGCTGTTCAGGACCCACGCTTCTCACTTTTAAGGCTCTTTCACTTAGATGGTGGCCCTTAAAGAACAGAGGATGCACAGCAAAGCATCTAGAGAGGAGCTGTGCAATCTGTGAAAGGTGCAAGTTTCTAGATGCCCCGTTTCTAGTTCTACTGACAAGCAGCCAGAAGTTTCAGTTCTTTTTCCACAAATGCACCAGTTTCCAGGAAACCCGAGCCGGACAGGCTCAGTGCTGTCCAGTTTACCACAGCTCTGCCCCTCTGTTGTCTGGTCGGGGCAGGATGTGCTCACGTCGGCCCCCAACTTCCTCACTTGGTGGTCAGACCCGTGGCTGGAGGCTGCTGCTGTGGCAACATGATGCTTCACTTCCTTTTTGGGGAGAGCTCGCCTCTGGAGTCGAGGTGACAAGTTCTGAGTTACTGATCTCTTGTGGGGGGGTGGCCCTGGCAGTTTGACCAGAAACACAGTTCCTGAGGTACTTTCCTGACGGGAGGAAGTGTCTGGAGAGGCCACAGTGCCGAGGGCAGGGGTGGCAGGAGCTCCTGGTGGGCTCCAGGATCTCTGGGCGTGTCTGCACGTCACGTGCTGGGACGACAGGGAGCCCCTTAGCTCTGTGTTGTAGCTGATCCACTGCAGCTCTGGGATCTGGACAAAGTCAACACCTGGGAACTAGCAGGGCCATATTCAGGCCCCAGCATGGGTGACTGCAGGTCCCCATCAGTTGCTTTGTCAGAGTTTTTCTTCCTCTCTGGGGTGGATTTGGCAATATGGAACATTCTTGGGCAGCTTGGGTCATAACTGACTGTGCTCTGTCCTCGGGCAAGCTCTCAGGGCTAAGACTGTGACTTCATCCTTGTACCTTGTCACATACCTGGAGGCGCTCAATAACTGCTTCCTGAATGGTGACTGGGCAAGCAGATAAAGTTCCAGAGGGACAGAATTTACATGAAATTTACTGGAAAAAATGATGCAAAAAAGCCTCGTAGATAAGGCAGTATCTGTATTCACATGGGACTATGCCGGTCTGCACACCTCTTCCCCTCTGAGCTCACCCTCTGCACCCAGGTGCACCCTTTGCACCCAGCTTTGGGCCCGAGAGTGGCCGTGCACATCAAGCACAGGCCGCCGCTGTCCTGTCACAGTGCAGGGATGTGAGCCCATCTCTGTCGAAGACTGTGCTTTACTGCCCAGGGCAGGGGCGACAGAAGGAAGGCACATGCTCCTGGGGTCTGCAGGGCGTGCACTGGGCCCAGGCTCCCGTCATCTCTGCCTCTTCCTCAGTAAAGTGGGGGCGGCCCTGAGCTCTGGTAGGATGGCAGCCCTGGGGTTCTGTGAGCTGCCGAGCCAGCGAGCAAGCTCTGCGTGAACAGTGGCCTCCTTGGCCCCATGGTCCTTGTGGGAGCCCCTGGCTGGCTGACACCTCAGGCCTTGTGTGGACAAAGGAACAAACCCAAGGCATGCTGGTGAGAGGCACCCCCAGGGCCTCCTCTGGCCTTGCCACTACCTCTGGCAAGTGGCGTCTTGGTTCTGAGCCCGTTTCCCATCTGAAGAGCTAGGATATTGATGGCTCTCAGGGGTTTATTTTGGGAGGGTCAAGTGCTTTCTGAACTGGTTGGCACGGGGCAGGGTGGGGACTGGGTTGCTGGGAGTTCTGTGGCCCTTTGCAGGAACAGCTGCAGGTCCAGCCGGTCCCCCTGACCAGCCTTCTGGGGACAGCACCTTGGTGGGAGGGACCACATCTTGAGTCTGTGCCTCGGCTTCTCAGAAGCGGGACTTTGCCCGGGAGCTGCACTGTGCAGCCCTTGCCCCAGCGGCACTGTTCACTACGGCGGGGCCTCCCCAGTGCATGGGGAGCCCTGCCTCTGCGCCCGTGGGAAGCCCTGCCTGGCGCGGAGCTGCAGCCCATCAGGAGGCCTTGGAGTGGAGAGTGGTCGGGGTCAGCGGGGGAGGCCCCAAGATGGAGGAGGCTGCAGAGAAACTGCGGGTCCTCAGAGCAGGGGTGTGACTGCCAGCTGCATGTCTGCACCTCCAGGACCACTCCCACTGCAAGATCCCAGCTCCGGGGATCTTTAATGAGGCCTGGGAGATCACTCGGGTTTTGATCTGCTTTGGAGTCGCCAGGGTACCCCGCCTGCCCCTCCCTGGGATAGCACCCTGAGGACTGAGGGGGATCATGAACAGTAAGCACTGGGCAGAGTTCCAGGCATCTGGTGGATGCTTAGTGACTGCAGCTGGATCCTGACTCTGAACTGGAACTTGCTCACCCCAGGCCTGGGTATTCCTTGAGATGAGGTCCACTTAGTCTTCCCATAGACGTTTCTCATGGCACTGCCAGGCGCTGGGCCTCACGCACATCAGGTGCTGCGGACAGAGTGAGCAGAACCAGACCTGGTCACTGCCCTCATGGGGCTCAGGGTTGGAGAGGTCAGTCCCACATCTCAGTGCAGTGGTGTTTCAGATAGAAGGGCAGTGGGGTTGTATGACAGCTTTAACAGAGGAACGTCCCCTTGACGGAGGAAGGGCCACTCAGTTGAAGGCTGTGGAGTTGGCAGCGGGGGTTGTTGGGCGGGGACAGTGGTCCAGTCGGAAGGAACAGCCTGCGCTCCAGCGGCCATGATGGGCTCAAGGAGCTAAGGCCGGGCCTCTGGGGAGATGGGGGCAGGGGGGAGCCTGGAGGTGGGAAGTAAGAGATTCGATTCTTCAGTCTGAGAATGGTGGAGAGTCTGAGGGCTGGGCCTCACAGAGGTCAGGCCACTGGAGAGGCATACAGAGGGGCCAGGGTGGGCTCAGAGAGCAGCTGCAGGGTGAGGATGGATGAGGTGGTGGCCGTGGAGGTGGGGCATCGTTACGGACTTGGGGGCTTTTGAGAAGGTACCAGCCACAGGGCCAAGGACGGCCTGGGAGCCAGGAGCTGCTCTCTGGGGGTGGGGTGGGGTGGGCGGGCTGTGGGAAGGAAGGAAGGAGTGGGCACCTGGGTATGGGCAGTGCAGTTCACCCCGCAGGGACACTGCCTCCCTCTCCTGGCCTCAGTGTGCTCATGGCAGTGGGGCTGGGCAGGGCTCGCTCGGGTGACTGCCGTGCGAGGTCGGTGATCCCGCCTGTGAAGATTCAAGTAAGGTGCTAATAAAGAAATTCGGGGGTGGCGGTCCTCACCTCGACTTCCTTTGGGTCTTGCCTGAGTTTTCCCCACTTGAGGCTCTGCAGGGGGCCGGCGTGGACGCCTGCTGCGCTGGGGTGGGTGTGCAAACTTCTGCTCCTTTCTGGGCCTTGGGCCGTGGGGGTGCCAGTGTCATCCAAGAGCGCCTCTCCCGCCCGGCCCCTGCAGAAGGAAGGGGAGTTCACGCTGCACGGCCGGGCCATCCTGGAGATGGAGCAGTACATCCGGGAGACGTACCCCGACGCTGTGAAGGTCTGCAACATCTGCCACAGCCTGCTCATCCAGGTACCGCGGGGCAGGGCGGCGGGCGCCTTCTACAGCTCTCCTTCTGGGCCCAGGCCTCTGGCACTGCCCTAGCCTCCTCCGACACAAGCAGATGTGGGGCGTCTCCTCAGATGTGTCCGAGGATGAGCACGCAAATGCCTGCGTCTCCTCCCTGGTCCCTCTGTTCTAGCTCCAGGGCTCTTTTTATTAATTTTTCTCCAGGAAGGCTCTCAGAAATCTTTGGTGTAGCCTGTGCTATCTTGGCGGCTGTGTGGCGAATCTCTTCCTACGTCAGCTGTGGTTTTCCCGTCATGTTTTACCCTGTGAACTTCGTAGGGCTTCAGAGCAGCTGGGCCAGTGCTGGACATTTATGTTTTCCTCCTTTTCTCTCAGTGCAGTCGCCACCTGCACTGGGGTGGGCCTCTCTGCGCATCCATCCTTGGGCCCCCAGTGGTGGTTTCCTTGGGTTGAATTCCTAGGAGTGGAACTTCTGGAACAGAGCGTGCACACAGCTTTTTAAAGCTTCTGACCCACATTGCTGAACAGCCTTCTGAAATGTGGCAGCCATCCTCAGGCCCACTTGCAGGGCCCACGTGTGCGGGGGATTTGGGGCCGCCTTGCTGCTCTGCTGGGCCTGGCCTGCCACCCCCACCGCCGTCCTCTGGTCATTGGAGTCTTGAGCTTTTCCCCTCTGTGCTCATTTGTCAGAATTCTTTACTAAAACCCACTGCACTGAAGACTTTGGGGTTGTTCTGATTAGCCTGGGGCCTGGAAGACAAAAAGTCAGAGCCTGCAGGACGTTTTCCTTGCAGCTCCCTGAAGGTTTATGGACACGGGATGTGTGCCAGGCGCCCTGGCCATCGCCTTTCTTGTTTCAGGGTCAAAGCTGCGACACCTGTGGGATCAGGATGCACTTACCTTGTGTGGCCAAGTACTTCCAGTCCAATTCGGAGCCGCACTGCCCCCACTGTAATGACTACTGGCCCCATGAGATACCAGGTTCGTGTCCCTGAGCCCTCCCTCTCCTGCTGGCCTCCAGCGGGAGCTGGGCTGGCAGGGTAGAGCGCGTGCCCGCATGCTGGCTGAGCAGGGACGGGGGAAGGAGAGGACAGGGCACTCTCAAAAGGGCTCCACACATGTGCGGGACCCGAGCCCCACGCGGTGAAGCAGCTTCTGCAGTCAGGGGAGGCAGGCTTGCTTCCTCAGTTCCACAGGGCTGTCTGGAACCCAGTAGAAATCCAAGGCCTGTGAGGGAGGGTCAGGTGTAGACAAGACTGTCCCTGGCAGCTGTCTTGGGGGTGGGGGAGGAGGGAGCAATGAAAGGGGCCTCCCCAGCTCCCTCAGTTCATTCATCTGTCAGCTGGGGCTACTCCTGCCTCCCTGGAGTGTTAGCAGTGAAGATGTCCCACAGGACAGAGTCCTTGGCACACGAGTGTGGCTGTGGATGTCAGCCAGCCCTGCCATTCACGGTACTTTGTGGCTTTTTTGTGTACAGAAGTCTTCGACCCCGAGAAGGAGAGAGATGCTGGCATCTCCAAGTCCAGCAAAAAGTCCTCGCGATCCAGGCAGCACTAGCTGGCGCTGCCATCAGGGGAGTGACTGCGTGGCCTGGTGGGACGAGGCATCGTTTTCCTGTTGCACATGAATCACCTCCTTTGTTTTTTACGTTCCCTTGTTAACAGGTTTGGAATAAACTTACTAAGTAGCTGCTGCATCCTCCATCTGTGGATATACCTGTGTAGGGTTCATGTCGTGGCCTTCCCCTCCTTCCTGGTGCTCCCCAAGAGCTGGGAAACCCTTGCTCCATTATGAGGCTGGCAGAGCCCCTCCTGCCCAGCACGCCTGGGAGGCCACTGGCTCAGGACAGCTTTGCCTTTGGCCACTTGTCCCATCCTCACTGGCTGGCCCGACTTGGACTTGTGGGAGCCTTGGCCCCCTGCCTCCATGCCCCATGGGCCACACTCTCTTCTGGTCCAGGGTGGACTGGCCTGGCTGGCCTGAACGGCCTGAGACCGATGGGCAGGACTGGGGGGTATGCTGTCCTCACTGGGCCCTCTGCCCCACGTGGTGACCAGCAGCCCCGCCCTGCAGTTGCCCCAGTCAGGAGTTGGCCTGGATCCCCCGCTCCTTGGTCCTCCTGCATCAAGCCTGTCATCACGTCTTAGGCAACCCACCTGCCAGATGGCCCTCAGTCCCACAGCCGCTGCCCTAGGCCAGGTCACCTCCCCATCCCTCGGCACAGCTCACCTCTGCTCCCGGCTCCAGCCTCCTCCACCAGTGACCCTCCCACAGTGCCTGATGCGCTCCTGCTGAGATCCTGCGTATCTCACCGCCTCTCCCCTCCCACTTCTCAGGGTAGAGCATTTCTTCCCGTTCCTGAATGAACCTGTTCCTCACCTCGAGCCTTTGCGCACACAGTTCCCCCTGCCTGCCTACTCTCCCCTCTCCTTGTGTCCTGCCCTTGCCGGCTAACCCCTGTCTGCCAGTTAGGTCTTGGCTAGGCTGTCACCACCTCCAGCTCCCAGTCCCCCACTGCCCTGCACTCCCCTGACCATCACACTTAACACACTTTTAAGTCCCTCTCTCACCTCCTTTCCAATTCCAGGATCAATCAAGACCCCTTCAGTCATGATGGAAAACCCAACGCAGACTGACTTAAATGAGGAAGGACTTCCCAGAGAGGGTCCTGCAGGAGAGGCTTGAGTTATTGGTTCCAGCGATGTCACCAAGCATCTGTAATTTCTGTCGCTGCCCTGTTGTCACTGAGTTCTCATGTTGGGGCCTACAACACGGTCTCCCAGCACATCCAGCCTCTTTCTTCATGGTAGCAAAATGGCTGCCATGCTTCCAGGCCTCACCAGGCCCCATCATCAGGAGGAGGAAGGCGGGTCTCATTTAGTGGCTCCCCCATCCCAGCAAACATCCAATCTGGGCACTCATGGAGGTGGGGATGGGAGAGTCCAACTGGCATTGGCAACCTGGGGCTCACCTCTGAGCTGAGGGTGGGGCAGCCCCTCCCAAGCCACATGGCTGAGTGACGAGGGTGATACGACCAGGCAGAGGGGAGATGAGCTGTGGGCGCCAAAAGGGTGGGGTATCCCCCACCTGTGCGGCCAGGGATGCTCTGCTGGTTCACTTCCGTCAGCCCAATGTGGCGCAGGGTCCAGGTCTGGCCCGAGCCCTCAGGCCCCCCTCCCCTGGCAGTGAAAGGCATTTAGCTGGATCACCAGGAGCCAGCCCAGACCCCAGCCCAGCGTCCTGAGGGCAAATAACAAAACTTGGTGCAGCTCCGTGGGAGCCCTGACCAGGAGGGGAGTTCAGCTGTGTGTCAGAAACCATCCCCAGCACCCCTCCACCCCTCCTGAGAAGAGATTTCTCAGAGGGGTAGGAGGAAGCTTGCAGAGAGACGGCAGGGCAGGAGAACTGATCTAGGAAGACGGACCTTGGACTTGGGGGTTCTGGCTGGACAGACCCATTCCTGTCACCAGGGCACTGCTGCTGCCATAAATCGACTCCAGCTGTTCCATTCTTCCTCCAGACACACCTCCGAGATGCAGGTGCAGGAAGGACCGGGCTGACACGCCCTCCGACTGCACTCACAGGGGCAGGGGAGGATGGAGGCCAAGGGGCCAAGAGCAAACCAGCACACCACCACCAGGAGGGCAGGACACTTCCCACAGCCGGCTTCCTGCCTGTCCCAGCGAGTGGTGGGGTGCTCAGGGCGAGGCAGGGTCTTACTGCGCAGGCTCGAGCACCTTGCCGCTGGGACACTGGCCTCCTGCTACCAGTCTCCCCTGTGCTGATACCACCGTGAACTTCCTGCGGACCCCTTCACACGGCCCAACCAAAACCCTTACCTGAAATTCCAGGCTTGCCCAGCACTCAAGGCCCCTGTGATCCAGCCCTGCCCACCTCCCAGCACAGCTGTCTTCCAGGGCTCTGCTCTCCCCTGGTGCCCCTGACTGTCCCTCCAGGAATGACTGGATCAGGGACACTCACTGCTCTTCCCATTTCCAGTCTCCTCGTTCTGGGCCCTTTGCACACAGCAGCACAATCGGACCGTGTCCCTCTATCTCCTCTCCAGACTCCCCAAGAGTGTGAAACATGAGGTGGGCAGGGCCCTCATCCAGCTCGAAGCCACGCTGTATCTGACACAGGACTCTGGGTGCCGAACAGGCATCTCAGTGGGTGCATCTCCGACAGGTGGGAGGTGGGGTCCTCGTGCCTGCATCGCTCCTTGGCTCTGTGAACAGGTTGGCCTTTTGATTTCTAGAACCTTTGGTCCACATCCCTCAGCACTGAGCCAGCCCTCCAGCCAGGACACCAGCAACACTGGAGCCTTGCCTGCCTGACAGCATATGAACGTTTCCTCTTCTACTGTCTTCCCATCTGACAAGGGGCGTTTGCTCGTGGCAGCCTGGCCCTGAATGTTTTCAAGAACGGTTCCTCTGGTCCCTGACTTCAGCACTACTACATCACAGAGGAACTGCCTTTCATCTGCAGCGGCTCAGCCGGAGTGGGACTGGCTACTGGGATGGATGGGATGGCAGAGGCTGGGCCACTGGTAGGAGCTGAGCCAGGGATGGTGTGAGCTACGCAGGCCACCCCTTAGGTATGGCTTGTCTGTTTGTCATCAATGACACGGTCGCATTCCTATTTCATGCCTCACCACCTTCAGCGGTGTTGAGAGTTGGAATAAATTCGTCATATGAAAAATTAGGTAAATAACTATTTATAATGCCAGAGAGGGGAATAAACGACCTCACAAGCAACTGCTCTCAGAGCCCCGGATTCCACCTTCTAAATGGCCCGTCCTACGTGTGCACTGCCCAGGCTGGGGCTCACTCCCGGCCTCAGTCTCAGCCTCCCTGAAGCTCTGTGATCAGACCATCCTCCTCCCCCAGCTGAGAGCCAGCTTTCTTATGCACGTATGCTGATGGTCTGTCTGCTCAAAACTCTGAAGCCCCAAGACCTACATGGTCAGGTTCAAATTCCCTGGCCTGGTTACAGAGGACACGAGAAGCCAGTTCCAGCTGCCCATCAGGGCTTCCCACGCCCTCTTCTAGTAACCCAGGAGGGGCCTGTGGGCCAGGCTCCACCACAGAGCAGCCCCCCACCCAGCACTGCCCCTCCTGGGGGACAGGTCCCAGGCCTGCCGGTCAGAATCGTCCCTCAGGTTTCCACGCCTGTGAGTCGTGGTATTAGGATATGGAGCTGACCTGCTGGGGCTGTCTTCTCCCCGTGGGGAGAAGGCTATCTCAAGAGGAGAATGAAACCAAGGCCAGACCAGCAGAAGCGAGGTGGCCGGGGAGGCAGAGAAGCCTGCTGGGTAGGGGCCTGGCTCTGGGCTTCTTCCTGCAGGTCTCACAGCCCTGCCCGCGGCTCCTTACACGCTATGGAGCTGACAGATCCAGCTGGCTGTTGCGTTTTCACTTAAACTAGCTTGGGCTGGGTTTCTCTCCCAGCCAGGTGGCCCATCAGGCCCGCACAATCTAGACTCTTGCCACACCTTGAATTTCACCCTGCGAGATGCTGGAAGTGGTTCTGTTTCTCGATTTGGGAACTGGTTGCTGGGAGGATGCAGAGTAGAAAATTTCCCAAGCTTGAAGGTCTATGCACTGCTCTGAAGACAGGTTCTAATTTGGTAACCAGAGCAGAAACCAGATGGAGACCCACACACAGTGGGTCTCTTGCCCCAAATCACACAGCACCTGAGAGCAGGGCAGGGCTAAATCCACGCCGTCAACCTCAGAGCCCAGGAGCTTCCATGTGGATCGTGAGCCTGCAAAGTCCTTCTGGGGCCTCACCCGCCTGCCTCTAACGCACTCAGCGGCCTGGCGCTCCTGGGCCCGGGAGGGCGTCCTCAGGCGCAGGCTCGGGCAGCCCGTCTCCAGACTCCGGGCCAGGAGAAGCGACTCCATGGTCACCCCTGCATCGCAGATCTGCCCTCCTCTCCGGCTATGACCACCAGAAGCTGACCGAGAAGCTCAAGTCCAGCGCCCGCACATAGTGCCAGTACTTCACTGGGATAAACAGGATCTCTCCGGGAGACAGGATGCAGGACAGGAATGGGGCCTCGGCAAACCTGGGGAACTTCTCCAAGTCGGGATTCTCCACGTCAACCTGCAGAAAGTGAAAGAAGTCATCTGCTTGGTCTCAGGGATGGCACAAGTGGGAGAATCCGTGAGCCCCACGGGTCCCCGAGTGCCCACCTGGCTTGTGTTATGAAGAAGGTGCGTGTCATGAGGATATAAGGCCTCCGACTCCTGCGGGGAGTACAGCCGGATGTACTTCCTCCCCATCACCTGCGAGGGAAGAGCAACCCACAGCCGTCAGCAGGTGCTGGCCTCCACCGCTGCCTCCACGTCCTCCTCACCTCCTTGCGCCATTCCTAATGCTGTTCCCTGCGCCCCGTCTGCCCTGTGCCCAGCACACCAGCTAGGTTATGAGTCACTGCCTTCGTTACTGCAGTGAACAGTCAACAGGCACTTGACTGGTAACCGCTGTTTAAATGCTTTATGTGTATTAACTCTAATCCTCACGACAACCCCTGGAGGTGGTTTATCATCACCCCCATTTTACAGATGAGAAAACTGAGGCACAAAGAGGTTAAGTGAGTTGCCCACGTTCACAAAGCTGAGAGGTGGCAGAGCTATGTTCACACTAGGCAGCCTGGTCCTGGGCCCCAGCTCCCGGCCTCCCGGCTGCCTCTGTGGACTGTCCCTGGGCTGGAGGAATGCTCTCCTTTGTCAAACCTCTCTGTCTATGACAGAGAAGGTGCTTTTATGACAGATGCCCCTCCTCCTACAACAAACACACGCTCCTCTGTCTGGGTCTCAGGAAAACTTATCCAGTGGCTGACAGGCCTCTTGTATTTCGAGAGAGGGTTCTGACCGGAGAAGCTGGCCTGCTTCTGGTGAACAGCAGAGGAGAGGCAGCTGTTGAGGGTACTTGCTCTGTCCACGTGAGGCATCTAGGATCCCAGAACCACATCTGGAAGCAGCCCCCACTGGGCAGAGGGCCCCACCCTGAGGCCTGCCACCGTTTCTCTTTCTCCTTTTGTCTGCATTGCTGTCAGTGGTCCATATCTTTGGTGTCTAGGGTAAACACCGATAATTTGGCCAGGCCATAGGTGGCTGGGCCAGGAGCGGGGAGGCCGATGTTCTGGAGCAACTCCAACCTGGGCTAGGAAGTTCTGCTGCGGGTCCTGGTGGAGTGGGGAGACTGTTCCCTGGGGGCCGAACCAGGCGTTGACGGTGATCTCCTCTTCCTCCCCGTCACCCAGGCAGCAGTAATCGGGGATGCTGATGTCCTGCTTCAGCTCTGGGATCTGTGGGTAGCAGGGCAGACGTGGAGGGTCAAGACCAGGCCTTCGGGACACAGCAGCCTAGAAGTCAACTGGCTATCACACAGAAGCGCCAAATACACACTCTCTTCTTGTGTAATAATACAACTGTATCCACATCTTACTGTATAGGAATTTAAAAGTCAATTTAAAAAAGCAAATATATAACTACTAGGGAAGGGTCCTAATTTTACTTTCAAGTTTGTTTCCACGTCGTACGCATTTTATCTGTTTCCTTTTCTTAAAAATCTGATGCCACTACTTTGTACTTACAAATAAACTAGCTTATAATTTTCTAAAGCTTTATAATACTTTAGAAAATCAAATTAAAGAAAAACAAAAACAAAATGAGATGGAGTATTTATCAAATCTCTGGAGGGGAAGATTTTCCAAAATTTACTAACATAACAGTAAAGCAATTGCAATTGGTACATTTAAGATAAGTTAACTAATATAAAGACCAATAAAGTAGGAAACTTATTCGAACTGTGGTAAATGAAGGTTAATAGAGAGACTTCATACAAGGTAATAAGGAAAAATAATAAGGACCCCAATACATAAAGTACACAAGTGAACCAAGGACAAAAACCAGATGATACATAAAAATGAATTAGACATCAGGAAGGGCTTCAGTCCTATTGGCAAAGAACCCAAATTAAACGTTGTCATCATCTCCCACTAATCAAACCAGCGAAGACTGAAAAAGTGATAAAATCCAGTGCTGGTGAGGATGTGGCAGAGGGGGCACCCTCCTGCCGGGCTGCTGGTGGCATCAAGTGGTAAAACTATTTAAATAGTGACGTAGTCACAAGTGGAAGTCTTAAAACTGTCCACAGACTTTGACCTGGTGGGAAATGAACTTGTGCTGCTAGTTTGTGTAGAGGTGTTGGGGGCCTCAGGGTGGCTCAGTGAGGCTAGGGCCCCCAGGGTCGGATGAGGGCTGTGTGAGAAGGAGGGCATGTCGGCTCACTGGCCCAGGTACCATCAGTGAACATGCCTGACAAGGTGCACAGACTCTCCCTCCACTTACGAGGGGGTTGTGTCTGGATAAACCCAGACGCCCTCTTTGCCTTCCCGCTCTGCTCTTCTGGACCGAACCCTCCCAGGCTGGAGGATGCATCCAGTATGTGGGGCTCGTCCTGCCCTGAGCCCTATTCCTCATCTCAGCTCCTGCCTGCATCCCCTCCTCTTTCAGTCTTTGCCCGGTCTGTCCTGAGGGTCTTCCATCCAGCCAGGGGTACCCAGGAGAAGGGAACCAGGCCCCTGCCAGAGCGCCCAGGCCCAGCGTGGGGACCCCGCCTTGTAAGCAGATCATTGAGGGCCTCTGGGACCTGCCCAGGGAACTCTGAGTCAAAGTCGCCAGCAGCTCGCTCCTTCTGGGTCAGGTCAGAGCCACTACCGTCGCCTGGCTCCCCAGGACCTGTTCCTCAGTCCTGACCATACCTGGGCTTCTGACTCCATCCACTGGGGGCCACCCTGACTCTTGGGGCCTCCTCATCCCCCGTTCTGGTCCAGGGGCCTGGCCTGCTCTCCTGCTGCTTGCTGGTGAGGAGGGCACAGGGCGCCTCCCTGCTCCCTGCAGGGGGGCAGCACCTGTGGGGAGTAAATGAGGCTGCTACCTACTGCTTCCTGCCCTCTGGGGCCAGTGCCCTGGATGGGAGGTGGGAGGAGATGAGGGGGTGAAGGATGGAGGGGTGTGGTCTCAGACTTACCTGGTCAAAGAGCTGGTGCTGAGCAAGGTACCCGACGTCCCTCGGCTAATCCACGGGAAAAAAACCAGAGGCGACAGAAAGCCCTGTTAGTAGTGATGGAGGACCCCCACCCCTGGGAGCTGCCACTGATTGGCTGGCTCTCAGCACCCGACGTGCTCCCGCCCCTGCCCAGGCAGCCACTCGTGTTGGGGGGACCCTCCTCTCTGTCCCCCTCAGGATCCATCCTCCAACCCAGGGGCAAATTGTGATCAGCAGGCCTGCCTCTGCTACTGACGTTGCCCTGAGCAAGTCACCCTGAGCCCCAGGCTCAGTCACCTCAAATGAAACACGAAGGGGCTACACCCACAGAAGGATTTCTTTTTAACTGAAGCATAGTCAGTTTATAATGTTGTATCAATTTCTAGTGCACAGCATAAGGATTTATTTTTTAATAATAATGGACCTCTGTATGTATTACTTTGAAATCTGCTGTTATCATTTAACGATACATCATGAATATCTCCTCAGGTCAACATGTGCACATCTGACTCTCTTTGGCCGGAGGCACGTTTTATAGGCAGGTGTTATTAGTAATTCAACCTTCGCCCGCTGGTGGACGTCTGCCTTGCTCTGCCACAGTGTTTCAATGAACGGCCCAATACTCTGGTCCTCACATTCATGTGCTTCCAAAAGCAGAACAACACAGTCAAGGGGCATGCACATTTTAAACTGTAGTTGCTTCTGCCAGGTTGTTTTCCCAAACACTGACCATCTACACTATTCCCAGCACTAACGAACACAACCGCCCACTTTCCTACATCTTTGCCTGCCCCGGAAATGATTTTGTGAAAATTTCTGCCAATCAGATGGGTGAAAAGACCAGTGCTCTTTACAAGCTGGGCTCCCCCCTGCTCAGCAGTTCTCTGAAGACGCCCGAGGGCCCTGTAAGGGTCAGACGGGGGAAGAGCAGGTGGGACTCCGACCCCACCTGAGGCCAGAGTGGAGCTGGCTTTGGTCTGACAGGCTCTGAGGCTACAACACTGTTGAAGTAGATGAAAGGTCCTCACTAGGGTCTGTCCATCATTCCATCCCCTCCTTCACTCTCTCTTCTTCCTGACACCCGGGATCTGATGAGCTCTCTGCCCTCACAGGTACCCTGACCCAGAGGACACTGGAGCTTATGTTAAATGGGCACCGATCATGCTGTGCTTGGACCTTTACGGGTTTTAGGCCTTAGTAACCTCTAACTAACCCCAACTAACCCTCAGTAACCAGAAGTCAGGGCACCGACGATCCGGGAGGGTAGGTGACCAGCCCAGGCCACACAGCCAGCGAGGGCCGGGGCTGGACTCAACGCTGCCCTGCTTGGCTGCAAAGCCCCCTCTCGCCCACCCCACGGCCCGCACTTCTGGTTCTCTCTGCTTCAGGGCCCGGGCCGCCTCCAGCAGAGGCCACGCGAGGCTTCTCCAGCTGGCTTTACTCTCCCAAGCACAAGTGGACATGGCCATGAGGTACGTCTCGAAGCCACAGTTCCCTTTTCCAGGTGACAGTGAGCTGAGCAGGGCTGGGTGAGGGGAGAAGTGCAGGAGAAGGGAGAAGAGAAAAGCGCCCGAGGGCACTGAGGGAGGAGCCTCCGCCTGCAGAACTGTGCGGAGTGCCTGGGAGCAGGCGGGCTGCACACTCAGCGGGGGAAGAGATGGGGCAGGAAGGGTGAAGGTGGGGGGTGGCCTGGGGGGGCCCTCGGGCATTCACAGCTACCATGCTGGGAAGGGCAAGGAAGGCAACTGCCGGCCAGCGTCATCACCGACCTGGACTCTGACTGAGCAGATCCACCAGCAAACCCGAGCAGAACTTGACAGCGGCTGGGCCTGGGGCTGCCTTGGCCTGTGGGTCGCTGGAGAGTGAGGGGAGCAACTGCAGCCCACGGATGCTGAACCCTCACCCCGTGTGAAGAACTCTGCTCTCCGGGCCCCCTTTAAGGCTCCCCTCATTCTCAGCCCAGAGGAATGGTTCAGGCCCAGGGCAGACAACCTGCAGCCTCTGCTACCCGGGTGTCAGGAAGAGGAGGACACCCACTGTCAAGAATCCGAAACAACAAAATGGTGCAGCTGCTTTGGAAAATAGCCTCCTCAAAAAGTTAAACCTAGAGCCACCATCTGACCTGAGCAATTCCACTCCTAGTCTACACCTAAGAGAAATGAACTCATTTACCCGCACAAAAACCTGTGCGTCACTGTTCACAGCAGCACTTTCCATACTGGCCAAAAAGTAGACACAACCCAGATGGCCATCAGCTGATGGACGGATAAACAAGATGTGGTCTACCCATACGAAGGAACATTATTCAGCCATAAAAGGGGATTAAGGACTGACACAGGCTACAACAGAGATGAACCTTGAAAACATGATGCTAAATGAAAGAAGCCAGACACAGGAGGTCGCATACTGTATGATTCCATTTATGTGAAATGTCTAGAATTGGCAAATCCATAGAAACAGAAAGCAGATTAGTGCTTGCCTGGGGATGAGGGCAGGGGATACGGGTCTCTCTGGGAGTGATGAAAACGTCCCAGAATTAGATAGTGACGATGGCCACCCAATCCGTGAATATACGAATAACCACTAAATTGTACCAACTGCCCCCCAAAAAAGTGTCTGAAATGGGTCCCGTATGTCCTGTCCTGCCTGTCTTCCTTAAAGAATGGCTTTGACTCCTCCAAAACCTCTCCCGGCAATGCGTGGAGGTAATTTGCCCACATCTAATGTGTTCCCTGCCCTGCAAGTATCAGGGGAGGAGTCAGACGACATACCTCGTTCACGATGTATTTGCTGATGAACTCACTGACCGTCATGAGTGTCTGGGACCATTCCTCGTCCGTGTACCTGGAACCGACCTCCACCGGGACAGTGCGGCAGCCAGCAACCTCTTGGATATACTCCAGGCTGTTAGGAAAACAGCATCAGCGTTGCCATCATCAGGCTAACACTTGCCGGGCACCCTGCCAATGCGCTTGCCCTGGTCTCCTTCCATCCTTACAAGAGCTCACCAGTTGGAGACCCCACTTCACTGAGGAGGAAATGCAGGTGCAGAGAGGTGAGGTCACTGGCTCACCTGGCGCCAGGCAGCTTGGCAGATAAAAGCAGTGAATCTGGTTTTTGCTGGGCGGCTCTGTTTCCCTGTTTGCCAAGAGCCTTCCAACTTCTCTCTTCACTGGCCCCATCACAAGCTGAGGCCTTCTCTGAACAAGTGGCAGGCAGTACAGGGTGGTGAGGTGCCTGGGTCCCCCAAGCCGGTAGCCTGACAGAGTCCAGGCCCTGTCACCCACCAGGGGACCTATGGCAAGTTCCTTGACCTCTCTGAGCCCTTGTTCCCTATTAGTAAAATGTGGGTGACGGCAGTGCCTGTCCCATGGGAACCGGGGAGGGGAAAAGGAGGTAAGATGTGGCTAGTGCCTGTCGTGGCGCACGGTACATAGTTGAGCACATAATGAGTGTTTGCCAGGACAATGGCCCTGCAGTCAGACCTCTGCCTCACACAGGTCTCAGTGGGGACCACCCTCCATAAAGCCACCACAAGACAGGCTGGCTCCCTCCACCTGCCTTAGATACATCTTCTCATTTCAAAATCACACACAGCAACATCACAGCCACTGTCCAGCTGCCTGATCTGACCCCTCCACTGTGAATCTTCCGAGGGACCAGACGCAGACGGGAGGTGGGCGCCAACACTGGAGCCCTGGGAGCCCCGTGGAGAGGGGGCAGGGCTGTCTCTTAGGTTCTCATTTCTACTCTTAAGCCTCAGGGACTCCTGAGAAAGTCTACAAATTCCTGAGATCCTGAAAAATTGCATGTAATAGACTTAACATCAGACCTCCATACGCACTTATTAAAAACGGCTTAGGGCAGGCAAGCTGGTAAGACTTTGATAACCTCCAGCATCAGTTCACAGCCCTGGACTTCTGATGTGTGTCTCACTCCTTGGCGGTCCACCCCACCGCTGGCTGTGAAGTGTCTGTGGGGCTGTGTTCACCTGGGGGTGCTGGGAGGAGGAATTCGGGGGCATGGTCTCTGGGGATGCTAAATTGGGATGAGGAACCACACAGCCGTCAGCAGACACCCACCTCCACTTCTTCATGCATGGCCAGTGGTCAGCCACGCCTTCCAAGATCACAGGCCTCCCTGGAACCAAAAAATGCTTCTGGAAATACTGGAGGGATGGACAGTGAAGCCGGGGCACTGCTCTTTCTGACCCCACATCTGGAATCGAAATGTGGTCATTCCTTGCTTTCTGTTTAAAATCAAAAGAGAACAAGATGGATACTAACTACTACATATAAAATAGATAAACAATAAGGTCCTACTATTAAATTATATTTAATATCTTATAATAAACTAATGAAAAAAGAATACGAAAAGGAATATATATGTATATATATATCTGAAACACTTTACTGTACACAAGAAACCAACAAAACATTGTAAATCAACTATATTTCAGTTAAAAAAAGAACTGAATAAAAGAAAAAAATAAAACCCTAAAACCAAGATGGTAACAACTGCAGCAAGTCCAAATTCGAGGAATTCCACTATGAATCTGAATCAGTGGCAGGAGTGGCAAAGGTCTGACTGCAGGGCCATCATCCCGGCAAATGTTCATTTGTCATTGGTAACAATAATAATATTATCAGTGTTACTGCTGCCACTACTACCACTGACGTCTCATGAGATTAAGATGTTTTTCCCTCCACCAGTTCATTTAAAATGTCTGTTCAATTATAAAAGTAATACATTGCTTTCACAGAGGAAAATTAATTATCCCAAACCCCACTGTCTAACATAAAAGTAGTCTCCTGGTGACAAAGTATGTTCCTTTCCCATTTTTGTCCCGTACACATCTGATCTACTGGTAGGAAGATTCATGAAGAAGAAGCAACTCTGCCTCTTGAAGCCAGTAATCCACCTGAAACAGTCTCCAGTGTGCGCAATGTCTTGAGTGGCTGCACCACCCTTTACTTAACCATCTCCTGGCCGAGGGACCTGGACAAGTCACCATCTCTGATTCTCAGTTTCCTCATGTGTTAAACTGCCAGGAGATGAGCTCTCATGTAAAGTTCCCAGGACGGCCGCCGGGCACGTGCCAGTCCCCTGTGCTGCCCCTGCTGGACCCCAGACCAGCTCTCAACATCCACAGCAGTGGCGCTAACATTCTCACCCGCGGGCTTATACAGGCCTTTTCCTCTCTCACTGTCACAGCTCTCTGCGGGAGGCTTTCATTTCCCCAGATTCCCTCGTCAAACAGGACTTCCCTGGTCTCCCTGCGTGAAGCAACCTCCCCCACCTGTCTCAGCACCTGGGAGAAGACATTCTTTTACAGCCTCATCAGAAAGGAAGCTCCAGGAGGACAGAGTCTAGGCCGCACCCTTGGTGCCTGGCACATCTGGGCCACCACTGGAGTTCAATAAAACTGCTGAGCAAATCCACTCCTCCAGGCAGAAGGAGAGCAGCCAAGATGCCGGTGGGTGGCAGTGCAGGAACCTGAACCCTGGCAGCGGACTCCAGAGCCGAGTCCTCACCCCCTTAACTACATACATCACCCCAGACCATGCGTACCACCTTGGCCCTGAAGCCACCGCCATATTCCCTCGGGAGACCCTTGGTCTGGGAAAGGGCAGGTGTAATCCCCGGGTCAAAGGGGACAAGTATCTGTCTGCCCTGCCCTCTGAAAGGTCCACCCACGCCCCGTGCCCTTGGCCCCAGGGCACCCTTGGCAACACTGGGTGCCGTATAAAACCGCATTCGATAGTTTCAGAGCCAAGAACCGCTGCCTCACCATTGCTGCATTTCTTTTTTTTTTTAACCAGAGGTGAGGCTGAACATTTCCCACAGGTTTTTTAGCACATCTGTTTCTTCCTTGGGAACAGTCTGTTCGTGTGTCTGGTCTGTACCTCCTGGGGCCCAGTTTTTTTCCCTGTTGATTTGTTGATTTGTATAATTCTTACACAACAGAGAAATGTGCTCTCTGACAGCTTTGCTGCAAATTTCTCTTCCCTGTTTGTAGGATCACCTTTTATTCTGGTTACACGCATGGTGTGTTTAATGACATCCATTTGTGTTACTCTCATAGAAAAATAATACTCATTGTCAGGAATTCTGAAAATGAGAAAATATCTAGAAAAATGTCAAAAACACCCCATAACCCCACTACCCAGGACAGTCCTGGCCCTTTCCTTCTAGGGGTCAGCACTCTAAGTGCTATTTCACAGATGAGGAAACTGAGGCTCAGAGGTGGTAACTGGCTTGCCCAGAGGTATTTTGGGTGAGGTCTGCGCTGGGATCTGAAGCCTGAATAAACCACCTTGGCTCAGTGTCTGCGGGGTATTCCTTGGGCACATGCACTTAAATACCAGTGAGGACACAGGCAAGGATCTGAAGGGCGGGGCCGCTCAGTCAGGTGGACGGAAGGCAGGCAGCTGCAGCATCTCCTACACACTCAGCGCTGAGGCAGAGGCAGCCAGCAAAGTGGGTGACACTTCAGCCAAGGGACCAGGAAAAAGCTGAAAGAGAAAGGCTGCCCCCACTGCCTGCAGCCCTGCCCACACAGGCCCCCTGAGCTATTTCGCTCAGGAACCACAAAGCTTCCACCCTCCCGCTCTCAAGAGTCACTGCTTTTGCGGAAACTAGGGGAAAAAAATTGAGCTGCTCCATTTCCAAATCAATGGAAATGCCATTTTCACCCAGAGGGGCTGGTGTGCCAGGGGCCCGTGAGAGCTGATCTGTTTCACTTCTAGAAAACCTGGGCTGATGGACTGTTCGGTGTGGTCAGTGACAGCCCCACGCAGGTACCTTGGTGCTGGGTGGCTCCTGGCTCGGGCTGGGGGCCGGCCTCTTTCTGGAGATGAGGTGCGCCTGGAGGACGGCAGCGACTTTGAGGAGGATGTCCCCCAGGATGGCCGCCCCCATCAGCAGGCCCAGGTCACAGACTCTCAGGGCGGCGGCCACGGCGGTGGCGTCGGCCGGTGGGGCACACAGACACACAGCTTTTAAGAGGCAGCCACAGGTGTACACCCGCCGCCAGTCCTTGTGCACCTGCTGCCAGGGCCCTGCGTTGAGTTTCTCCCAGGAGTAGTCGAGGAGCACCTCGCAGGTCTGCAGACACGCGCTCATCTGGCCCCCATAGAAGAGCTGGGTGGCCTGCTGCAGCAGCAGCACCACGCTGCCCTCCACCTCCTCCCCGAGCTCCAGCTTCAGCTCTTCCTTGGTACTGGGCAGGAGTGCCCGGAGAGCCTCCCAGAGCACGTCCGGCTCTGCCATCGGTCCTAAGTGCTGGGTTGGGGCGGGGGAGGAACATCAGTTAGAGCAAAACACTGCTGTACGTCTAAATAGCTACAATTCTTTATTTTTATAAAATAAAACTGGGGGACAAAAAGCTAGATCTGATGACAGTGACCAAAATGCCTGCTACTGAGATCTGAAAAAAATCTGAAGTATCTTCATTACAATTAGAAATAAAATTTTTTAAAAAGAGAGAGTGACCACCTACAGGCTTGGTCCCCTCTAGGTTTCCACAGCTTCCGGACCTGTCCTGTGTAACACACATCTCATCTGTACTGGCTCTTCAACAATGGTGTTCTCTGCTGGGCATAATAAGCTCTGTGTGCGCAGGGCTCCCATCTGTCTGGGTCATGGCCGTATCTTCGGGGCCACCGGCATAATACTAGGCACATGGTGGGCACCAGAGACATATTTGTTCAGAGGGGAACATGTATTGTCCTTGACTGGAATGCCTCCAACCCTCCCCCAGCAAACTCCTATCCAGTCCTTAAGGCCCACCTTAAATGATCCCCAGTGTGAAGCCTGCTTAATCTCTCCAACAGTGTTTTGTGTTTTGATCAGCCCTTGAACTTCTTTTACAGCACTTGTCACAATGTACTACAAACACCTGCTTACACGTCTGTCTATTCAATCCTAGCTTATGAACTCCTCCAGGGCAAGAATATGTCCCATTTCTCTATGTTTCCCTGGAGACGATAAGCAGAATCTAGCTCATTGTAGGCATTCCATTAAGACTATTGAAAGAATGAGATCTTAACTTCCCAGGAAGGAACCTGGAAATACGTAAAACATATACAGGAAGGATAAACATCATGGTTGGTGCCTTTGGTGACGTCAGCCTGGACATTCCATACGGTTGGCAGGCCAGTCCTTAGGAATGAGCACTAATATGGGAACAGGTGCTACTGCTCACAATTACAATTATTTATTTGTACTACACTATTCCAGCTATTACAGCTGTTACACCCCTATCTCATCTGATGCTAAGGAATATGGACCCTCACGGTTTTTGCAGAGACTGCTCTATGCTGGGGGTCAGAAAACTCTTCCTGCAAAGGGCCAGATAGTAAATATCTCAAGCTTTGCAGGCCAGTCACTGTTGCTACCCTTCTGCCACTGCAGCGTGAAAGCAGCTGTACGCAGCATGTAAACGAATGGGCGTGGTGTGTCCCAATAAAACTGTATTTACAAAAACAAACTCTCGCTTTACACTCACCAAAGTCCATTCCATCTTGCACACAGTGAGACTCCATTTCTGAGTCTCACTTGCAATTAGATGTGACCATGCCACTGTGTTCTCGCTGATGCACGGAAGTGATGTACCTCACTTCCAGGCCTGGGCCCTAAGCACCTCCAATGTGATTCTCCACACTCCCCCTCTCCACTGGCTGGAAGGGAAGGACTCTGAGGCCGTAGGGGATGGCAGAGCCACAAGATAGGTCCCCAGCCAGGAATATCCATGCTGCAATGCTTCAAGAGCAAAAAATAAACTTATAGTGCATTTAGCCTCTACAGTCTTAATGATGCTTGTTACCAGTTATCCTGACTTGACTGACCCAGTAACTTCCAATTATTGAGAAAGCAGATGCAGAGTGTAGAGGGTAGTGCAGAGTGTTGAGTCTTGTTGGCTCAGAATAGTTTTCTCTTTCTTAACAACACACCTCCACATCCTTCTGAGAAATTCCACACACCCACTGAGATCAGTCTGGTGGGATGCTGCCAGGGGGCGGGTATGTGATACCTGCTCTCCCATCAGTTGCCTCCCTTGAATTTGAACTTTAAGGAGATCAGAGACCAGCGACAGCTGACATCTTTTGCTGACATTTCATTCTGCCCTGGTGGCAGCTTCTGGACCGGACTGTTGCTGCTAGAGCCTTACACTCATTGTCCCTAATTCCCAGGCTGCAGAACCACTTTAGTGCTTGTTCTTTTCCAAGTCCAGTTCTCCAGATTTCCATTGATTCTGTGGGCCCCAAATGGCCTTCCCAGAAATTCCCTCTTGCTTACATCAGCCAGGATTGGTTTCTGTGGTTTATGATGAACCCTCCTTGACCCATAAAAGTAACCGACACTCAAGATCCCTGGTGGATGGGGAAGGTGAGAATGAAGACTTGCCTGTGATAAAGCCCCATCAGATGCCTCATTTCTTGTGACAGAAGAAAGCCAGTCTTCCTACAGCAGAAGAAAGCCCAATGGTCCCTGTTACAACACTCTTATCTAATCTACTTCTTTTGAATTTGGGCAGGATCGGCAATTTGCATGGTAGGCAGAATAATGTCCCCCAAAGATATTCATACCCTAATCCCCAGAACCTGTTACCTAACATGGCAAAAGGGACTTTGCAGATGTGACTAAGAACAAGGACTGGGAGATGGGAAGTTATGCTGGATCATCTGGGTGGGCCCAACCTAACACAGACTTCTTGAAAGGATCTTTCCTGGCTAAAGTCAGAGCCAGAGGGAGATGTGATTACAGAATTGTCAGAGAGATGCATTGTTGCTGGCTTTGAAGATGGAGGAGGGGGTCTCAAGTCAAAGACTGTGGGCAGTCTCTAAAAGCTAGAAAAGGCAAAGAAATGGATTTTTCCCTAGAGCTTCCAGAAGGGAAGGCAGCCCTGCTGAGACCTTGATTTTAGTTCCATGTTGAACTCCTAACCTACAAAACTGTAAGCTAATACATTTTTATTGTTTTGAGTCACTAAGCTTGTGGTAATCTGTTACATCAGCAATAGAAAAACTATTATTACTTGCCTCTAGCAACAGGCTTGTAGGTTTGGTATGTGTAGCTGTTTACTTTCTGGCCTAAGATGGAGAAAGTGATGAGATGCCACTTCTGGGATCAGGTTCCACAGGTTTCATCTTGCCAACAGACTCTCTCTACTGCCTTCTTGGATGGCATGCACTGATGAAGCAAGTGGAGAGGCCCATATAGCAAAGACCTGAGGGTGGCTTAGAGCCAACAGTAAGCTGGGAGCTGAGGGCCTCGGCCCAACAGCCCTCTAGGAACTGAATTTTGCCAACAATCTCAGGTCAGCTGCTTAGATCTTTGTCCAGATCAGCCTTAAGATGAGAACTCAGCCCTGACACCATGACTGGAGCCCTTTGAGAGCTCCTGATGCCGATGACCCAGCTAAACCATGCCCAGACTCCCAACCCACAGAAACTGGGACAATAAATGTCTGTTGTTTTAAGCCACTAAATGTATGATTTGTAATGCAGCAATAGATAACTAATAAACACCCAAACTTCCTGGACATCCTGGGGCTCAATCTGCAACTCACACTAAAGAACAGGTGGAGAAAGGGCTTCCTTTAGCTCTGATGTGTATGAAGAAGTCAGCAGTAGACTGAGAAGAAAAGACATACGAAGGATGCTAGAGATATGGTTCCTGAGGGCTCGCTAGACAACCTTATCCTACCCCTGGACTCCCTTCCAGCTCATTTCCCCACCAGCTCAGGAGTAACAGTAACAGCAGGGAGAATACTTAAGAGCGTCAGGTGGATTGCCTCATATAATCCCCACAATGCCCTACAAAGCTGAAAACGCATTCATAAAGCATTTACTGTAAGCCAGGAATGCACCAAGCTCTTGATACATACTCTTAATTCTAAAAGAAAAGTATTATCATACCCATTTTACAGATAAGGAAGCTAAAGCAGAAAAGTTAAATGACTTCCCAGAGCAATTCAACCAATTAAGAGGTGGAGCAGAGATTAAAAAACTCAGGCAGCCTAGCCCCAAATCCAGTACATTACAGATGAGGGAACGGGGCCAAAAGATCACGAGCCAGCAGGTGATGAAGCTGGACATCTAGGTTGTTTCACTCAGGACAACTCTGAGGAAGGAATGATGATCACCCCCGTTCTGCAGGTGAGGAAATCCCGTCACTTCGCACACGGAAAGGGCGTATCTTTCCCACTGGTTATGATTTTTGAGGTCCCTCTTCCTGGACTTGTCCTAAAGTGAGAGCAATCACTTAGAGTTTTCTCAGTTCTACAGTCTACCACGGTTTCCACGGTAACCGTGCCTTTCTCATTTCGTTTGTTCCTCACAATCCTGGGAAGTGGACGGGGATGAATGTGATCATTTTTCCTACAACCCCACCTTCCTATTTTGCTGTTGAGGAAACTAACGTCCAGGAAAAAAAAAATGAAGTGACTTGACCAAAACACCAATCATTGTGCAGAAACAGGACTTAAATCCTGGCCAACCTCAGTGCCCTTTCCTAAGTGCCATGTCCAGGCTCCATGTTTAGTGTACGTCACCTAACACATCCCTCACAATCCTACGGTGTGAGGTTTTACAGACGAATGAAATGGGATTTGGGAGATGAAGCAATCTGCACAGAACTACGCAGTGGGTGGCGACGTCCACTTACAGACTCTTCGGGTTCAGGCACGAGGGCTGCATCAGCTTTTGGACCTCCAGACCCTAGCTCAGGCCTTGGTCACAATGGGTGTCCTGCCCAGTTGGCTTGCTGCGTGATGGGACTCAAGGGAGCTTAAGTGGCCTGGCCCAAGCCTGCCAGGATGACTTCTACCTCCAGCCTTCCAGAAGACTCCTAAATGTCCTGTGCTGGCCTCATTAACAGCCTTCTTGGAGAGCATCACAGTTCAGCCTTCCAGTGTGGTCACACACAAAACAGCATGTGGACCATCAACTGGCCTCCCTGGGTGGCCTTGGGGCTCATCCCTGAGTTGTCTTACATGAGTCTTATAAACCCATTTTGAAAAGCCTCATCCTGAGCATTCAAAAGACCTCAGAGGCCTCATATTCTGGCTTCTCACAAAGGTCTATAAAAAGGCCTCCCAGAAGACCACTTATTTGCCTTAATATAAAAATGACTTCCACTGGGGCCTATGTGCCAGCTTTGTAAATTGGCTTTTAGTGGCCTTATAAAATGGCCTCCCAGAGGGTTTCAAATGGCCTAGAAACTAGTTCCACGGGATGCAGATTTTGGACTTTGTAAACTGGCCTCTGAGGGTGACTTTACAAAGCCAGCCTCTAAATTAGCCTCATGTGCTGCTGTGCAAACCAGCTTCCCAAGGTGACCTCATGCACTGCTCTAACCTGGGTTCCCCAAATGGCCTCCCAAGGCAGCCATGTGCTGCTCTGCAAAATGCCCAAGGAGAGGGTTTCATACTGATGGCCATGTGAGGCAGCCTTCTGGGAAAGAGGGCCACAAGCTGGCTGTACAAATGTCTCCTCTTGGCCACATAAGAATCTTAGTAACTTATTTTGAATCCAGAGTTCCTCAGCGAATGGCCTTACAACAGAGCCTTCAGAGGTACTTAAGCTGGCACTACATAACACAGCGTTCCAGAGGCAGGGGCTTTACGACTTTTCAAAATGGTTTTTCAGATTGCGTCTGTATTAGCCACGTGAAATGGCCCCACAGAAAGCCTCATGATTGATCTTAAAATCCTAGCCTCCCAGAGAGCCTTACTTTGGCAGCATGAAGCAACTTTCCAGGGTGAAGCAGCATGCTGGCCTTTATCCATCTGAGGAGTGTTATGGCTTGGGGCCATAGGCCTCCCAGAATCTTTCATGATCTGGCCTTTTAAGTAGTTGCTGTATCAAATAGCTTTGAGGGGAAAAGTCACCTCCTAGTATATAAAAGGCTTCCAAAGTGGCCTCATGACCTGTGTCTTTACATATTGGGCCTTGTCTAAGGGCCAGGACTTTGCCTTAGTTTTGCAAACCTATCTCCCATGTTTCCTGTCAGCCATCTTAAATGGCCTCATTGGAGAAAGGTCCTGCGCTGGCCGGAACACCTTCTTGTTGGCTGTATGAAAGCCTTCCAGGGGAGCTGGCCTCGTGCGGTCTGAAAGCTGCAGCCTTCTCACAACCATCTGATACGGCCTTCCAGTAAAGGTGACGTTTAGGCTGCATCCAACAGCCTGTCTCAGTGGCCTCATGTCTTGGCTTTACAAACCAGGCTTCCAGCATTCCCCAAGTATTGGTCTAAGAAAAAGGTTTCTTGATAATTGTACCAAGCAGTTTTCCGGAGGAAGGTATCAGCTTGAGTAGCCTTGGGGCTGGGCTTTCCTGATTTCTTTCCCAGAGTTCCTCATTGAATTGCCTTTTATGAAAGGTTGTATTAAATGAACAAAACTTCCAGAGGGAGTTAAGGACAGACTGTGTTGAGTCCCTCAGAGTGGGACTGTAGACTGGCCTTTAAATTGGCCTCTTACAGCTCCGCATAAAAGTGCAGAAGCAGGCAGTATAAACAGCCTTGCGGTGGTCAGGTATAGGGGAGTTAACTACAGAATGTATCATACAAACCGGGATGCTATAAATAGGCCTTTTATTTATTTATTGAGCTCGGTAAAGAATATTTATTTTTCTTTTGTAAAACTTCTTATTCTCATCATTTTCTCCAATGTTTGTTTTTCACTGTTTGGAACTTTCATTTCTGCACAGAGAAATTTCATCTTACACCAGTCAAATACTGGGAGACCTGATAGCAGCTTTTAGGGAACTATGCATGTATTTCAATATTTATGACTGGACAAATCATAAACTGGCATTACTCTAGTTAAATTGAGACCTCTGGTCACCCTAAATATAGGCTATATAAAAAGCCTGAGTGCCCTTGTATCTTCTCTTTAGTCAGTCCCCTTAAAAGACCCCTGTTGGTCACAGAAGACTTTTTTTTGAAAGGGATGAGGGTGGAGGTGTCAGGTATAGAAACAGCCTGAGTGGTTATAAAGCTTGTGTCTTGGCTTTGTAAACTGGTCTTCCACAGGGCCGCATGTATTGGCCTCACAACATGGGATGGCTCTTGGGGGAAGGTCAGGCACAGGTTGCACAAAATAAGACTTTCTCAGTGGACTGTGTCTTGGCTTCTTACATAAAGGGCTGTCGTTTGTACATGAAATAATCTTGAAAAGTGGGTCTGACAATGGTCACAGGAGCTAACCTCTCAGAGTGGTTTTTGTCTTGGCTTTATAAATCAACCTAATGTAAACTTTCTAAAATGCTTCTTGTTGGTCACTTAAACAGAAGAGCCAAGTATAGGCTATACACAACAGTCCAAGGTCCTCACTTCATAAATCACCATCCAAATGGAATGTATTATGTAAGCTGAGCTCTGGCTGGCTGTTAGTCAAGAGCCCAAGTGGGTTCCTGTCAGTTCTAAAATAGTCTCCTAGGAAGAAGCCACCGCAGTCATCCCAGAATTCTCTTACATTATCTTTAAAACCCTAAAACTCCTCCCAGAATATATGGGTCTCTAACTGGCCTTCTGGGAACAGCCTGTCCAGTTTTGTTATGTGCAGACTGGCTCGGGCCGTCGATGTGGGCCCAACACCTGCCCACCTCCTGCCCTTGGACTTGCTCTAATCCTACTGAGCACGGTGATTTACCCTGACCGGATCTCGTGGGGCAGAACGCGATACCGATGCTCAGAGTTAACTCCTATCGAGTTAGACACCCCTTTCCATCCGGCGGCCACACGCACAAGGCGCACAGGGTCCCCTGGGACGCGAGGGTTGGGCGGGGTCTATGTACCGGGTCCACCCCAAGGCCTCACACCATTTCCCTCTCCAGCGCTTTCCCCGAGGTTTCATTTCCCGCGTCCTACATTCGGGACCCGATGGTTCAAGTGTGACCTGTAGGTCTACCTCCAGGCCAAAAACACAGGGCGACTGGCCCGGGAGACACAGGCGGCATGCACCTGCAGGTACAAACACTTATGAAAACCAGACGCCGCGCAGGCGCACTGGAGTGGCACGAACGGCACCAAGACCCACGCAGGCGCACAACAGCCTAGGCGCACGCATGCACAAAAGGAAATGACTGGCCTAAGAAGAGTACCAGGCACGCGCGGGACTTCCGATCCGGAAAGCGCAGGAGAGTTGAACTACTACACTGTGTTCTCAGAGCGCATGCGCCGGCCCTGCTCCCCCTCCTCAACACCACCTCTCAGTTACGCGGCTTTCAGGGGCCGCCCCCGGGCTTTCCGAGGCGCTCGCGCGAGACCTCTTCACACGACGCCTGCGCAGTCCTCCGCTGCCAGCTCGGTCCCTTCCGCTTCTAAGTAGCCAGAGCTGCCCACCCTCTTGAGTTGTTCAAAGTCACCTGTCTCGAGTGTGGACGCCGTGGAGTCGCCCGGGGGGCCGGCGACGAGCTGTCCCTTTGGACCGCATACCCCGGCTTTCTCCAAGTAGTCAGAGGCTTGCGCGAGGAGTATCGATCACTCACAGCTCGTCTGATCACCAAGGAGTGCCTAGAGGAGCGCCGAGTGATCGATGTCACAGCCCCGCCCTACCCCGCCCCATTTAAAAGCCCGGAGGGTGGAGCGCCCTCCTAGGGTTGGGCTTTTCCCTGGGTTTCTGCTTCCACGTAGGTAACGCCTGCGATTTCCTCTACATCGATACCTTCTTGTGCAAAGCAGCTTCCCGTCCACCATTTTGTCTAATCCTACCACTAGGATTACTCTTCCTCTTTTACGGAGAGGTAAATCGAGGCTCAGTGAAATAAAGTATCTTAGAACTTCTGTAAAGTCGTAGGTATCGAGTTTGAACCCTCAAGGGCTGCATCCTGTGGGAGTGAGAAGGACCTGAGTTTCAGGAAGGAGTGTCAGGCAAGGGATCAGAGACTTCACCACTGTTACCTTAATGCTGAGTGGTGTGGGTGTCACTGGGGTTTCTTTTGAAGCACTGAACAGAGGCGATAGAAAGTTATGGTCAGATTAGGTTTGGAGTCGGAGGGGAAAAGGGAAGGGAATTCACTTACGAGTGTTAAAGAAAACGTTATTTGTGACACTTGTTAAAGGCAGTAAGGCAGACTTTATTATGCTACAATGAGGGAGTTGTGATGGGGAACAGAGATGGGGCACAACTCGGAATACACCAAGGACAAGTGGAGATTTATAGCCAAGGAGCAGGATCTGGGTCAGTAGATGGAAAATTATTAGGAAACTTCAGGGGTAAGGGGAATTCTGGCTAAACGAACGTCACAGGATTTTTTGCAGAAGGCGGTCCAGGATATCAAGGGTGGAGGATAAAGAGTTTAATCAGATATGAAGGGTGGGGGATTTTTGCTAAATTGACCCAGCAAAATTCTTGCTAAAACTAGACTAAACAGGCCAAGGGCAAACCCAAGGGCAAGATCTAGTCACAGAGAGGACTCAGAAGAGTCTGACTAGAGTTAAGTTGATGAAAAAGTCTTTGTCACTGATCACAAGGGACGTATCAGCATTGTCTGGGCCCCTTAGACTCTTCAAAAATACTTAATTCTCTCAACAACCCTGTGAGTGGAGATTATTACGTCTTATTTACAGACAAGGAGACGAAGACTCACTCATTCAGTGGAATTCAGCCCAATTCAATCAGATCAGTGAATTTGGGTACTGTACTAGCACCAAAGAAAACACGCTGAATAAACTCACCCCTCTCCTCAAGGTAAGTGAGATGCACAAATATTTATTGAGCATTTACTATGTACCCAGCTCTTCCAAGGCTCTTTAAAAATATTAAAATCATAGATAACTCATAATTATCACCCCCAGCTGAGTGATGACAGCTTTGGGTTGTACCTGAGCCCTGTGCTCCTGGGAAACAGTGAAGGTTAAAGGAAGTCCTTTCACCCTTTTGTGTTCTGGAAAACTACTTGCTGCAAAGAAGCACCCTTCCCTTTGTGACTTGGGGAAGACTCATGGATGCCTGCTTTGTTTACCTTGACAAGACCAGTCATAGAGCCTCCAAATCCCCGTTTTTTGCCTCATAAATGATTAGCTGAATTGCTTGTTTCCACCAATCAATCTGAGTAAAATTGTGTGGACAAAAAAATATTGTCCGACATCAAGCCGTCAGCCACTGCAGCTGCCCATGGGTCAGCCCCGAGGGGAATTCAGGAAGGAGAAAAACAAAGATACTGGTCCTAGAGAGTTAAGGTGCATTATCAAAGGAAAAATTTCAGTAAGTCCAGACTCTTTCATCTTCCCAAAGATAGAAAAGCATTACAATCACTGACTTGAGATGTGTGTTTTTTTGTGGTTAGCAGTAATATTTTGATGTTCTGCTACATGTTTTATTTGTTTGTTTTCAGCAAAAACTCCTGTATGTCCTGTCTCCTCCCTTACCTCTTTGGAACAGCTCCTCAGAGCTGCCTTATTACCGAGTCTAAACTCGTCCTTCTCACTGCATGACAGGCCAGTAAATTGGGAGATGAGGTGTTGGGGCAAGGAATAACAACTTTATTCGGAAAGCCAGCAGACCAAGAAGATGGGGGCCTAATGTCCTAGAGAACTATCTTCCCCAAGTCAGAATTCAGGCTCCTTTTATGCTAAAAAGGGAGGGGTGTGGTTGGTTGTTGCAAACTTCTTGGTGACAGAATCCTTTGTTCTTGCAGCTACCCATATAGGTCAGGTCATGATATTCCTGTAAACCTCCAACAAGACAAATGTAAGTCTCTGTTCTGCAACTTTTTATCTCTATATGAATGAAAAAGTATTATACCCTTAAAGGTCAGAGCCTTAAGAATGGGCTCTCCTGTATATTTCAGGCTACGGGCAACATTCTTTTGCAGAAGGTGCAGAACCAGCATGACTTAGCACAGGAAACACAGCACAGGGTTAGAGCTAAAGGAACAGATCTAATATGGAGTTAGGTTTGTTATTTCCTACTACAATCTGAGAGGCTGCCTCCCAGGCTATAGTCCTCAGTAGCTCAGTAATGTCCCTGAGTAAAACATAGCTCTCAACTTTTGGGTTGCGCTTTTTTTTTTTCAGTAGACACTTGTGAACGAAACTTTGGTTCAATTCCCTCCTTCTTCCAGGCCCCTGAACTTTGGCCCATTCTCAACCTTAGCCAGCAGACAGCTCCTCCTGAGAATAAAACATTGGGGTAAAATGTTCCCTGACCTACCCTTTCATCCCACCTCCCAGTTCTTCCTTGCCTTGCTTTCCCCTCCCTGCAAAAGAAAAATTCTTTTTGCCCCACCATTAAGACACTTGTAGACCCGATGGTCCTAGGGTTCTCTCTGTTGGAATAGCCTCCTTCCCCACTTCCAATCATCCTTTCAAATCAAAGTCTCCCCTCACTAAGTTTGATTTTGTTTTTTATTTCACAGTGGATGGACAGACTACAGTAAGGGGGGCACTCGGCCCCTAGGAGCCCACACAGGCCCCCCAGCAAAGGGCCAAAGGAGATTCGAACTCAGCACCCCCTGGTTCTAGCAGGACACCTGATTCTCTTCTACAATGATCAAGAAAGGGGTTCTGGCCTTTTAACAGTAAGTGCAGGGTGCTGCCAGCCAGGCAGAGACAAACACCCCTTTGCCAGCTTGTTTGTGTTTTCAGAACTGGCTGGTTGAGATGAATTATGGGCGCAGATGACATGTTTTCAGAAAAGAAGAGAACCACAATCTTTCACCACAGGGTTCCACTTTCTGTGGTCCCGTTGCCAATCCCCCACCCCCACCTCCCCACATTCCCCGCAGCCTTGGAATTGGCTGTCAAGCTGACAGACCCATTTGAGTGCTGCAAAAGGCACAGAACGAACAAAAGACATCATTTATGTCCGTGTTTGTGATTTTTCTCCGTTTGATCAGCAGCCTGTAATTTTAATATATCCAAGTGTGCTGGGAACGTTTGTGGCTTAATTATCACATTTATTTAAAATACACACGTTCAAGCAAAACTCCAAACTGAAAAACATTTAGCTTGACAATGGAAGAGATGTTTAATTTACTTCAATTGTTTAAAGGTGGTGTGAAAACCTCCTAGACACTGGCTCTCCCATCGATTGACTGCGTGACCCAGGGCTGGTCACTTACCAATTCTGTGCCTTTATTCCACATTGGTTCATCACTGCCTCAGCAAGGAGCAAGTGAGTCTAAAATGATCTTAAAAGACTAGGAAGGGAAAATCATGGAGTTCTGTTGAGTGGTCTCCACTGGGATGGAGGCAAAAAGTCCTTGAAGCCGAATCAGACTGGAACACTTACTGCCTTTCTGAGCCTTAGTGTTCGCCTCCATGAAATGGGTATGAGAACCTGTGTCCCAAGGTGGTGGTATTAATAAGACCCCTGTACATCTCAAACTATAGTTCTCATTCTCCTGCCTGTCCTAAAATCCGTATATTCCAACCTCCCATTCGCCTACTGGTCCAGGTCCCGCTTCCTGTCCCTTGTTTCTGATAGGCTTGTGACTACTTTTATCAATAGAATATGGCAGGGGTGATGTCGTGGGCCTTCTGGGGCTGGGTCTTAGAAAGTGATGTAGCTTCTGCTTTGTTCGCTGGAACTCTCAGAAGCCTGGAACGACCATAGACGACATCTGACCACCCTGAAGCCCAGGTACCGGGCACCTGAGTGAATGAGCCTTTAGAAGATTCCTGCCCCAGCCATCCACGTCTTCCCAGCTGAACCCTGGAAATGTTGGAGCAGAGACAACTGTCTGCTATGCCGTTTCCCATGCCACAGAACCTGCCAGCACGTTATCACGGTTATCGGATGCTACTGAGCTTTAGGCTAGCTCAGCATCGGATAACCGGAAAAGGAGTAACTCAGATAACTTCCGTGGGGAGGGGGGTGTTCCAGGCGGAGAAAACAGCCTGTCTTCAGGGAGCAGGGAGTGGGGAGACCAGAGGGGTGACTCATAGCCAAGATTCTCAAAGTGTGGGTGCTCCCACCGGTAGTACAAGGGGTGCCTGGGGAGGCGTTTTCTTCCATGCCGGGGAACACTGCAGCGTCGCTGACGCTTTCATTCTGACCTGTGTTGCCACCCAGTTTGCACACGTGTAGGCAGTAACATCTTTGTCACAACGGCCACCTGGTCTACGGCGATTACGTGATGACAGTGTCTGCAAGATGCATCCTGACCAGATGTTTCAGTGTGGAAAGAATATGTGTCTTGGAATAAAGAGGGGTAAGAAAATAGTACGAATATTAGGGGTTGGCAGAATATGGGAAAACTGGCAAGGGGGGTTCATGAATAAGGGCCGCTTGGGAAGAACTCGCAGATGCTTGGCTCCGGAGAGGGCACGTGGCAAGAGGCCAGGAGCGGTGGCATTTTCTGGCCATTTTGCAAATGGCTCCGTGGCCAGTAAGCACCCAAACTAGGTCTTGCCGCCTCCAGGCTTAGCCCTGTGCCTTTTCCATCTCCAGGGCTCATGGGGCTCCTCCAGAAAACCTGAACAGGCCTGGGGTCTAGGAGGTTCTGCTGCTCTGTCTTCCTCTAGGAATTTCGGTGCAGACTGCAAGCGGGGGAGGGAGGGAGCTTGAGACTCTGGGCTGTCTTGATGAGGAACAGCCTGGGCTCTGCTCCCCACAGAACACTCTAGTCCCCGTTGCCAAGACATCTGGGCCTGGCTGCCTCTTAGCCCTGCTGTCCCCCAGCTGCAGGAGGTTTCCGGGAGCTGTACCCCACCTGGTGTGTTAACGCTTCTGAGGATAACAGAGGAGAGGACAGGATGGCCTGTCCTCACCCTGTGTCCATCAGGAGAAGCCACCAGTGAGCAGTGAGGGAGTGAATATGGACAAAGACCTTGGCTGAATTTCCACGGGGGGACTGGTGGGGCCATTTGGCCTCATCGTCATTGGAGTTATGATTACCATTGTTTTCAACAGTGGAAATAGTTACCATTTCTTGAATGTTTACCATTTTTTGAGTGTGCTTTGTATACACATTGTCATATTTTATCTTTGCTTGTGGTTCTGGAGACACTGATACTAAAATTCCATTTTAAAAATGAAAAGGGGAGGCTCAGGCAGTAACCTGCCCAAGGTCACACAGTTGTTGCAGCACAGTTGTGCCCCAATTCTCTAGTCCTGGCTGCTTGCAGAAACTGCAGGAAGACATTTTAATTGCTCAGAGCCTTGTCTTCCTGAAGGAATCAAACCAAAGCTCAGGTACCCCCAGACCTTCAGAGGGCTTACATCTATTGAAGGAGCTGGAGAAACTTGGGGTGCGAGTGATTAGTGGTGCCCATCAGTGCAATTCTACAAATATTTTTCTGAGTCCTCTGATGTGCCAGGCACAGTTAGATACTGGTGGGGGTGGTGGAGATGAAGCTGCAAAGATGAAAAAGGCATATTTTATGTCCCTGGAGAGCTTAACATTAATAGGGAAAATAAAAATGAGGACAAACTCCAGCCCATATCATCATCCTTGATTTGTAGTAGACATATTTTGGTTGTAAGTTACAGAAATCCAACTCAAATGATCACATTTATTGAATGACATGACAGATAATCCCAGGGATTGATTTAGCTTCAGGCAGGGCTGGACCTAGGTGCTCAGATGATGTTGCATCCTCTCTTGGCCTCTCTTTTTCCCTCTAAACTGGTTGGTTTTATTCCCAGGCAGACTCTCTTCTCATGATGGCCCTTGGCAGCTCCAAGTTTGCATCTTCTGCTTAACAACTCCCGTGGAGATAGAATGCCTCTTTCCTAAGAGTTCCAGCAAAAGGTCCCTGAGAGGACTCCATTGGCCTGTCTTGAGCTCCCATGTCTGTGCCTGAGCCGATTGCTTTATAAGGTGTTTGCGATACTGTGATTGACCAAGAAGGGGTATTTGCTCCCTGTTAATTGAGAATGGAGGTTGGGTAGTTCTGCTCACAAAACCTGGGGAGCTGTTACTAGAAGAAGGGGAATAGATGCTGGCCAGGCAAACCCCACACGTAACAGCCTCAGAGGCAGAAATGGCCTTGGTGTGCATTATCCAATATCCCCATTTTATAGATGGGAAAACTGGGAGAACCTTCAAATCCCACCTCTGCCACTTGGCAGGCCCTAACCAGCCTCTTCACTTCTCTGTTCCTCAATTTCCTCATCTCTAGAGTGGTTATAATAACGACATCATAGGGTTAATTGGAAAAAATAATTCATATAAATGTTGTGACACATTTAAAACAATGTAACATTTGGTGCTCAATAAATACTTGTTCTTTATTCTCTTTTCTCACATCCCTGGGGTCCCCCAGCATCATTTCATCTCTTCTCTGTGTCTCTAAAATGCTGCATCTATTCTTTGCCCAAAAGTACTGTCATCACTTGTTCTTAACTCTCTTGGGGTTCAGTTTCTTCCTCTGGAATGTGAGTTCTTCAAGAACAGGGACCAGGTCTTGTGAATCTCTGTTCCCACTGTCTAGCATGTAGCAAAGGTCAGCTCCTATGCACAGAAGAAGCCAATCAGTCAATCACTCAAGTTGGTTTTGCAGACCAGTGGTTCCACTTATCTGATGCCGCAAACAAACCACCACAGTGTGTGGTGACTTAAGATGACCTTTACGTTGTGCATGAATCTCCAGTTTGGGCTGGGCATGGTGGGGACAGCTTGCCTTTGTTCCACTTGGTGTCAGCGAGGACAGCTAGAAGGCCAGGGGCTGGAGGCTATCTGGAAGGCTGATCACCCACATATCTGGCCCCTGGGCTGGGAAGGTTCAGGCAGCCTCTCTGCAGTCTCTGCACCAGGATGGTGTCTGAGCTCTGGACTTCCACATAATGCAGGGTGTCTTAAGTTATATGCCCCCAAGAAAAAGGGTACCAGAAGGAAGCTGTATCACTTAAAAAAAATTAAACCTTAATTTTACAATAGCCCTAGATTTACAGAAAAATTGCCAAGATAATACAGAAGTTTCCCATGTAGCCCACACCCACTTTCCCCTATTCTCTTAGGTTAGCATTGCACATTTATCACAATTAATGAACTGATACTGATACGTTTTTATAACTAAGCTCATACTTTTCTCAGACTTCCTTAGTTTTTACCGAATATCCCTTTTCTGTCTGAGGATTCCATCTAGGATACCTAGATTTAGTCTTCTTAGTCCCTGGAGCTGTTTCTCATACTTTCCTTGTGTTTGATGGCCTTGACAGTTTTGAGCACTAGTGAGTACTGGTGAGGCAGTATGTAGAATGCCCCTCCATGGGGACCTCTCTGATGTTTTTGTCATGATTCGGCTGGGGTTACAGGTTTGGGGGAAGAAAACCACCTTGGTGAAGTGCCTTTCTTACCACATCATACCCAGCGTACATACCAGTGATCACCGTTGATGATAATCTTGATCACGTGGCTGAGGTGGTAATTGTTAGTTTTCTCCACTGTGAAATTATCCGCACCCCCTTTTTCATACTGTAGTTTTGAGAAGAAAGTCACTAAATATGCATAGCCCTCAAGGAGTGAGGAGTTACACTCTGCCTTCTTGAGGGCAGAGTATCTGACACACATTATTTAAAAGTCTTCTGTGTGGGAGATTTGTCTGTTCTTCCCCACTTATTTCTGTATGCAATCATTGATTTCTATCAGAATTAACTCATGCTTATTTATTTGTACTCTGGGTTATATAATCCGATAGTATGTTCTTTTGTTGTTATCTGAATTGTTCCAGCTCTGGCTATTGGGAACTCTTTCAGGCTGACTCCTGTGTGCCTTTCATTCCCCACATTGTGTGTTTGTGACTGTGTGCGTGTGTTTGTGTGTATGCACTTCCTTACCTTTTGGCACTGCGAGGTGCACTAGATCATGTTTATTTCCTACCTCTATCTAGAATTAGCCATTTCTTCAAGGAGCCCTGGTTCCCTTTATTGGGGAATGGTATTAGAAACCAAGATCTGGGTGTTAGGTGTGCTCATTGCTGCTGGGGTG